GGGAGGCCCCGCCTGAGCGAGGAGGGTGACGGAAACCCATACTATTTACATGGTTTCGTGCCCTTCCCACCTCTCCAGGGAGGCCCCGCCTGAGCGAGGAGGGTATCCCACCCCTCCAGCAGGGAGGCCCCGCCTGACTGAGCGAGGAGAGTATCGGAAACACATACTATTTACATGGTTTCGTGTCCCTCCCACCCCTCCAGGGAGGCCCCGTCTGAGCGAGGAGGGTATCGGAAACCCATACTATTTACATGGTTTCGTGCCCCTTCCTTCCCCTCCAGGGAGGCCCCGCCTGAGCGAGGAGGGAATCGGGAACCCGTACTATTTACATGGTTTCGTGCCTTTCCCACCTTTCCATGGAGGCCCTGCCTGAGCGAGGAGGGTATCGGAAACTAATAAAGATTACATGGTTTCGTGCTCCTCCCACCCCTCCAGGCAGGCCCCGCCTGAGCGAGGAGGGTGTCGGAAACCCATACTATTTACATGGTTTCGTGCCCTTTCCATCCGCCTGAGCGAGGAGGGTATCGGAAACCCGTACCATTTACATGGTTTCATGCCTTTCCCACCCCTCCAAGGACGCCCCGCCTGAGCGAGGAGGGTATCGGAAACCCATGCTATTTACATGGTTTCGTGCCCCTCCCACCCCTCCAGGGAGGCCCCGCCTGAGCGAGGAGGGTATCGGAAACCCATGCAATTTACATGGTTTCGTGCCCCTACCACCTCTCCAAGGAGGCCCCGTCTGAGCGAGGAGGGCATCGGAAACCCATATTATTGAAATGTTTTCGCGCCCCTCCCACTGACATGGGTGAGGAGGAAGGGGGGAACATTACCTATCCATCTCACGTCCTACTCCTCCCACTGAGGAGGGTGAGGAGGAGGGGGAGTTCTGCGATGAGGAAGGCTTCATCATGATGATGGTGATGACGATGGTTATACTGCTGTTCACGATGACGATGACGATGGCGATAATGGTGGTGGACGATGACGATGGCAACAACTGTGATTATGATGATGATGCTGATGATGATGACGATGATGATGATGATGATGATGACGATGACGATGATGACAACGATGCCGACGACGACGAGGATGATGATGCATATGCTGGTGATGATGACGATGCTGCTGCTGATGCTGACGTTGCTGGTGCTGTTGATGATAATGACGACGATGATGCTGATGATCATGACGTCCACGATGATGCGGACGATGATGATGCCAAGGACGTTGATGGTAATGGTCATGACGATGCTGATGATGATGATGACGATGGTGGCGACGACGATGATGATGACGATGACGCTGGCGATGATGATGATGATGCTGATGATGATGGGGATGATGATGATGGTAATGATGGTGTCGATGATGCTGACGATGATGATGGTGTTGATGATGTTGATGGTGTTGATACTGATGATGATGACGATGATGCTGGTGATGACGACGACGACGGGGTGACGACGATGTTGCTGATGATGCTGATGATGACGACGATGATGCTGGTGATGATGATGATGCCGAAGATGAGGAGGACGAGGAGGAGCAGGACGACGAGGAGGAGGAGGAGGAGGACTCGCTTGAACGAGGAGGGTCGCGGACAGCATTACTCTTTACCAGGTGTCGTAGGCCTCCCCCTTTTCCAGCGGGGCCCCGCCAGAGCGAAGAGGGTATCAACAACCCGTACTATTTACAAGGCTTCGTTTCCTGAGCACCTGTCCTCCCTCCTCCTTTCTTTCGTCTGCCCTTTCGTGCGTACTTACTCGTTCGATGAGCTTCGCCTTCGTGTTGATGTTGTCGTACCCCATGGGTCCCACGAAACTGTTAATATTTACCTAACAGCTCTTGCTGATAGGTTTCTAGTGGTCTCAAAAGAGAGCATCATGACTCCTCAGGGGGGTCTGGGCGGGACCCGGGGAGGCTGCCGTCGAAGCCGAAATCGCTTTGGACATCCTCGCAAAATCGCTCTTGGTGCTCCCAGAACTCCATTCCCGGGCCACATGGAGCCAACTGTAGGCCACTTCGTGCTCTTCGACTTCCCAGAACTCCATTCCTGGGCCACATTTTGGATGCCCGGAGCCAACTGTAGGCCACTTCGTGCTCTTCGATTTCCCAGAACTCCATTCCCGGGCCACATTTTGGATGCCCGGAGCCAACTGTAGGCCACTTCGTGCACTTCAAGTTCCCAGAACTCCATTCCTGGGCATGATTTTGAATGCCCGGAGCCAACTGTAGGCCACTTCGTGTTCTTCTAGTTCCCAGAACTCCATTCCTGGGCCACATTTTGAATGCTGAGGCAGGCTGATGCTGCGGCCAGGCAGGCAGGCTGAGGCTGAGGCAGGCTGAGGCTGAGGCCGAGGCTGAAGGCAGACTGAGGCTGAGGCTGAAGCAGGCTGAGGCTGAGGCTGAGGCAGGCTGAGGCTGAGGCTGAGGCAGGCTGATGCTGAGGCAGGCTGAGGCTGAGGCTGAGGCTGATGCAGGCTGAGGCTGAGGCAGGCTGAGGCTGAGGCCGAGGCTGAAGGCAGACTGAGGCTGAGGCTGAAGCAGGCTGAGGCTGAGGCTGAGGCAGGCTGAGGCTGAGGCAGGCTGAGGCTGAGGCTGAGGCAGGCTGAGGGTGAGGCTGTGACTGCGACTGCCGTTGCCGCTGCGACTGTCATCGCGAATGCGACTACGACTGCGAGAACAGCAGAATTCTACAACTGGATTGTCATATGAATCTTAAGGGGAATGCTTTCAGATATATGCTTCTACACATCGCCGTTAGGTTGCTTTGCCGGGATATTTTTTATGTGGGGAACTGCGTTTGCATCATTTTACCATTGATTGGACTGCAATCGATTCCACTGGGTTTGCGCTTGATTGGCTTGCAACCGATTGGATTGCAAGGCCCCCCGCTGTCATGATGTTCAATGTCAATGATGTTTTTCATCCGGTGCCAGTGCTGGCGCCGGCGCCGGTGCCGGTGCCGGTGCGGTGCCAGGGCTGGTGCCGGTGCGGTTGCGGTGCCAGTGCCGGTGCTGGCGCCGGCGACGGCGCTGGTGCCCGTGCCGGTGCCGTGCCGGGCGGCCGGCGGTGGTGCCCGGTGCCGGTGCCGGCCGGTGCCGGTGCCGTGCCGGGTGCCGGTGCCCGTGCCGGTGCCGGTGCCGGTGCCGGTGCAGGTGCCGGTGCCGGTGCCGGTGCCGGTGCCGGTGCCGGTGCCGGTGCCGGTGCCGGTGCCGGTGCCGGTGCCGGTGCCGGTGCCGGTGCCGGTGCCGGCGCCAGTGCCGGTGCCGGTGCCGGTGCCGGTGCTGGTGCCGGTGCCGGTGCCGGTGCCGGTGCCGGTGCCGGTGACGGTGGGCGAGAATCGCTCTATAGTGGACAGCCCAACACGTCCCATGCGCCCAAGCTGTCCTCCAGACGGCCCAAGAGGCCCCTCAGACGGCCCAAGAGGTCTCCAAGAGGACCTCCATGGAGGCCAAAGTCAGTGATTGTCCTTAGGGTGTTCAGTGATTTTAGCGTTCTCGCCTTTTCGGTCGTCCGACGCTCCAAGGTGGGCCCATAAGCCCCCAAGAACGACCGCAAGACGGCCCCAAAGGCCCCAATGAGGCCCAAGAGGCTCGCAGCCCGGCCAAAGAGGGCCCCACGGCAGCCCAAGACGGCCCCAAGAGGGCCTCAAGAGGGCCCCAAGACGGCCCCAGAGACCTCCAAGACGGCCCTGAAGCGACCAACGAAGGAAACTCGACTGCCCAGAGCCTCCGAAGGCCAAGAGGCCCCTTATACGCCCCAGGCGGGTTCCAAGAGGACCACGGGGGGCCACGCGAGGCCAAGGCGCCTGACGATTCCAAACATGGCGATCCCACACTCGGCTCCAGAGAAGATTTAGAATGGACCCGTACAGACAATCTGCTCAGGGAATAGTGCTACATTGCCCGTGCGCTGTACGGCGCCCACGTGAATGTCAGAGCCGCTGCTGTGGCCCATACGGAGACCTAGAGTCTGAAATGAGTCGCCATAACAAACCGTAGTTGACACTGGGAGTACACCAAATTTGAGGCGGGAGGGAGATGAAGAGAGGAGGTAAGCTTCGACCGTCTTCTAATGCCACTGAGTTAGCGGTTAGCGACAGGATCTCATGGCCAACTCAAGACCTTTGCCCACACATAGGCAGCACACGCACACAGCTACAGCATTGCAGCTACACATCGGCTCTCGTTGTCGACGCCCCGGCCGACCTTTGGTAATGCTCGCTCTGACCCCATGACAAGGCTGCTGCAGCAAACTCAACCATCTCGGCTGGGCGACTCGCCTAGTAAGTGAGTTTGGATTGGTGGTGTGGATAACGCGGAGCGTCAAGGATTTGCCGATGATGTCCCCGTCGCTACCGTCTTGTAGTGTGACGGGGCTCCCGCATTTCCCTGGCACCTGTCTCGGGCCCAGGGCACGCCACCAGACACGCCCTCAGACACGTCGCCAGGCACGTCTCCAAGGACGTCCCCTGCCGCGGCAACAAGCACGGCCCCAGACACGTCACCATTATAGGTAGCAGCAGCCGGCCGACGACGAGGCAGGATGCACTCCCCTTCCCAGTTTAACTTGGACTCGAGCAACAGGAACGCAAACATAAGGAACTAAGGGGCTTTCCTGGCCGCGGCGAGCTTCGGCCACGAATTGGTTCCCCGACCTGGCTCAAAAAAATCGGAACCCCTCCTGAACTCAGAAGGATTCTTGCTTCAGCGCCTTAACTGTACGGAACGTGCCCAACACTCCAAGGGCATCATCGCCCCACCCCACCCGAGGAGGAGGAAGAGGAGGAGGACGAGGAGGCCTCTCTCCGCCTCCCACCTCCCTCCCCCACCATCCTTTCACGCCCTCCATGTCCGCATCCCTGCTCCTCGACGACGACGACGACGACAGCGGCGGCGGCGGCGGGCGGCGGCGGCGGCGGCGGCGGGCGGCGGCGGAAGCAGCGAGCGGCGGCGGCGACCCCCGATGCGCCAGAGGCGCACGCGCGGCGGGTCCCCGATCGGCCATGTCGCGCAGCTCCGAGGCGATGCTCTCTGGCTCCGCCACGCCTGCCCCCGCCGCCACCCACCCACCCCCCTCGAGAAGGAGGGGAGGAGGCAGAGGAACAAAAACGGTGGCGAACCCGAGTCCCGGCAAACCCGGGTCTTACGCTCCCCCGAGAGGAGGCAGAGCATAGAGGAACAAAAACGGCAGAAACATAATTTCCGAGCTCCGCGCGGAGCGCGCCGGGGGCGGCGACGGAGCGCCGCCAAGAAGGCGCAGCGCAGAGCCGGTAAATCCGTGCAGAGCTCCGAGGAGTTCCGTCGATGCAGCTGGGTTTTACTCTCCGACCTCCTCGACAGGAGAAAGGAAGCGCTTGCTGGAGGCGGCTGCCGACTAGGCTCCAGGGGGGACTAAACGACCGGCAAGTGACGAGGCGGGCACACTGGGGCTCGTCAGTGGGCAGTAGTTCTGAAGGTGGAGGGTTTCCACGGGGTACTTGGTATGGCGATATCATTGGCCTCAGCGAAGTACTTCCAAACCCCCATCAGGACGGGGAGAACGAGGCCTTCGAAGACGGAGCCTTGGGAGAGGGGTAAACGGGGGAAGGACGAGGGGGAGAATCAGATGCAAGGGCTGGAGTAGCATGAGCATCAAAATTAGCCTGGCGAAGGACCCAACCATACGCAGTTGTGAATACCGCACTTGTGAATATATACTTCGGTGGCGCTCCCTATGGGGCCACGAACCGTATGAGGGGTGTGCCGAATTGTGTGATAGGGTACATAACACGAACGAAAACGATAGGTCTGAGTATGAAAGCTTGAGCGCGGGCGAGTCTAAGCGCGAGTAAGTCTGATTATGAATGAATATGCGTGCGATTGACTCTGTTTGCACGACTGCGAGCATGGAGTCGCCGAGTGTAAATGCATACGACTGTGAATGGTTTGGGTCTGCCTGACTCTGAGAAATCGTGACACTGAGCGTAGCCTTCGCAAGGAGTTTCCCTGGGACCCCCGACGGCAGCGCCCGCGCGCCGCGACGCCCATGTCGGCACGCCCCACACGAGGATCGCGCCCGCTTCCTCCCGATCTTTTCCTTCCTCTTTGCCCGCGCACTCCAAAGTTCAAGGCTGCGGGCGCCGCGCTACGCGCAGGTCGGACGTCGACGACGGACGACGACGACGAAAAAATCGGCCCTAGGGAAGCTGTCGGGACCACCAGTTCCCTATGGGGCCACAAAACGTGTGAGGGGTGTGCCGACTTAGGTGTGCGGGGCGCATGCGGGCGGCGGCACTGGGGCCTTCGGTGGAGCTCCATATGGGGCCACGAAACGTGTGAGGGGTGTGCCGAATTGGGTGCGGGACGCATGCGGGCGGCGGCACTGGGGCCTTCGGTGGAGCTCCATATGGGGCCACGAAACGTGTGAGGGGTGTGCTGAAATGGGTGTGCGGGACGCATGCGGCCGGCGGCGCTGGGGCCTTCGGTGGAGCTCCATATGGGGCCACGAAACGTGTGAGGGGTGTGCTGAAATGGGTGTGCGGGCGCATGCGGACGGCAGCACTGGGGCCTTCGGTGGAGCTCCCTATGGGGCCGCGAAACGGGTGAGGGGTGCGCCGAATTGGGTGTGCGGGACGCATGCGGACGGCAGCAGTGGGGCCTTTGGTGCAGCTCCCTATGGGGCCATGAAATCTGTGAGGGGTGTGCCGAATTGGGCATGCGGGACGCATGCGGCCGGCAGCAATGGGGCCTTCGGTGGAGTTCCCTATGGGGCCACGAAACGTGTGAGGGGTGATGGTGCTGATGACGGCGATGATGATGACGATGATGGTGATGATGACGGGTGAGAGGAGGAGGGAGGGGGGGAAGGAGGAGGCAGGGCGCGGGGCGCTGTCTCTTCAAAACGAGGACCCAACACCACAGGATGGTTGGAATAATATATCTTGGTCAGACACCCATATAACTACTACAACGTCCCATGCCTCTGTGATCAAATTCCTCCACATCATCCCAACCTGTCCTGTTCGTGCTATCTACTCTTGTTCCTAATCTTCCTCCTCCTCCCTGTCGATGCTCCTCTCCATCTTCTGTTCCATCCGCATCAGCAGTACTCATCATTTTCATGGTCCTGTCCCTGGGGTCGTCCGGTCGCGCACCACCGTACGTAATGCTACGGCGGGTTTGTCTTTTCGTCTACAGGTCCTGTTTTGTATTTTCCGGGACACCGGCCGTCATAGGTTCCGCCCCAAATGACGTCACGTCCCGCGCCGGCGGCGCCCAGGAATGCCTAGAGATGACCGAAGCCAAGCACGAGCAGCATGTAGGTGGCGATTTGCGCAACAACGCCTCTGTACACCACACCGCCCAAGTGCACCACAGCGCGCGTGTACACCACAGCGCTTGCGTACACCGCAAAAGACGCGTGCAACGCAGCGCCGCTGTACACCACAGCGTGCTTGCGGCACCACAACGCCTGTGTACACCACAACGAACGTGCACACCGCAGCAACCATGTGCAAGACAGCGATTGTGTACACCACAATGGATGCGTGCACCACACCGCCTGTGCACATCACGGGGCCTGTGTACACACAGCATCCTCGTGCAACGCCTTTTGGTTCTTGGACGGCCAAATCTGCGGGAGTTTCCTGGACGCAGGTGGGAAGAGTTAGGATGATGCGGGGAGGATGCGTAGATTCTAGCGGCACTCCTTGTTCCATAAAGATTCGCCTCCAACTTTGTATAACTATCCTGCGACGTACCCAACCCTTTGTACACAAAAGGCAATTGCATTCAAGACCACTCAATACCGAAGGACATGTCGGCGCCATGGTATAGTGGTGACTTGCGTAGGACGTACCTCCGATGAGCCTCCCAGAAGCCCATGCGCGCCAGCTGAACCAAGCGCGCCAGGCGCGCCAGGTGCGCCAGGCGCGCCAGGTGCGAGAAGATGCGCCACGTGCGCCAGGCGCGCCAGGTGCGCCAGATGCGCCAGGCTTGCCAGGTGCGCCAACTGTGCGCCAAGTGTGCGCCAGGTATGCCAGCTGCGCCAGGTACGCCAGGTGCGCCAGGCGCGCCAGGCGCGCCAGGTGCACCAGGTGCGCCAGATGCGCCAGGCGCGCCAGGTGCGCCAGGTGCGCCAGGTGCGCGCCAGGTGCGCACCTGGCAGGCGCGCCAGGTGCGCCAGCTGCGCCAGGTACGCCAGGTGCGCCAAGCGCGCCAGGCGCGCCAGGCGCGCCAGGTGCGCCAGGTGCGCCAAGTCCGCCAGATGCGCCAGGTGCGCCAGATGCGCCAGGTGCGCCAAACGCGCCAGGCGCGCCAGGCGCGCCAGGTGCGCCAAGTGGGCCAAGTGAGCCAGGTGCGCCAGGTGTGCGCCAGGTGTGCGCCAGGTGCGCCTAGCGCGCCAGGTGCGCCAGGTTCGCCAGGTGCGCCAGGTGTGCCAGGTGCGCGCCAGGCGCGCCAGATGCGCAAGGTGCGCCAGGTGCGCCAGGTGCGCGCCAGGTGCGCACCTGGCACCAGGTGCGCCAGTTACGCCAGGCGCGCCAGTTGCGCCATGCGCGCCAGGCGCTCCAGGTGCGCCAGGTGCGCCAGGTGTGCCAGGTGCGTCAGGTGCGTCCAGCGCGCCAGGTGCGCCAGGTGCTCCCAGCGCCCCAGGTGCGCCAGGTGCGCCCCGCGCGCCAGATGCGCGCCAGGCGCGCGCCAGGTGCGCCAGTTGCGCCAGGTGCGCGCCACGTGTGCGCCAGGCGCGCGCCAGGTGCGCCAGGTGCGCCAGTTGCGCCAGGTGTGTCAGGTGCGCCAGGCGAGCCAGGCGCGCCAAGTGAGCCAGGTGCGCCATGTGCGCCAGGTGCGACAGGTGCGACAGGTGCGCCAGGTGCGCCAGGTGCGCCAGATGCGCAAGGTGCGCCAGGTCTGCGCTAGGTGTGGCAGGTGCGCCAGGTGCGCCCAGCGCGCCAGGTGCGCCAGGTGCGCCAGATGCACCAGGTGTGCCAGGTGTGCCCCAGGTGTGCGCCAGGTGCGCGCCAGGTGCGCCAGGTGCGTCAGTTGCACCAGGCGCGCCAGGTGCGCCAGGTGCGTCAGGTGCGCCCAGCGCGCCAGGTGCGCCAGGCGCGCGCCAGGTGCGCTCAACGCGCCAGGTGCGTCAGGTGCGCCCAGCGCGCCAGGTGCGCGCCAGGTGCGCGCCAGGTGCGCGCCAGGTGCGCGCCAGGTGAGCGCCAGGTGCGCGCCAGGTGCGCGCCAGGTGCGCGCCAGGTGCGCCAGGTGCGCCAGGTGCGACAGGTGCGCCAGGTGCGCCGGGTGCGCCAGGTGCGCCAGGCGCGCCAGGTGCGCGCCAGGTGCGCCCAGCGCGTCAGGCGCGCCAGGTGCGCCCAGCGCGCCAGGTGCGCGCCAGGTGCGCGCCAGGTGCGCCAGGTGCGCGCCAGGTGCGCCAAGAGGACAGGGAGGCCTCAAAGTGGTCTGCGTCGGACGTACCTCCGCTGGGCCTCCCAGGAACCCAGGAAAGCGGCGACACTTGCGCAAATCGCAGCCCCGCAGGGGACAGGGAAGCCTCAAAGTGGTCTGCGTAGGACGTACCTCCGCTGTGCCTCCCGGGAACCCACGAAAGTTGCGACAGTTTCGCAGATCGCAGCCCCGCAAGGGACAGGGAGGCCTCAAACTGGTCTGCGAAGGACGTACCTCCGCTGGGCCTTCCAGGAACCCACGAAAGTGGCGACAGTTGCGCAGATCGCAGCCCCGCAGGGGACAGGGAAGCCCCAAACTGGTGTGCGTAGGACGTACCTCCGCCACTGGGCCTCCCAGGAACCCACGAAAATGACGACAGTTGAGGAGATCGTAGCCCCGCAGGGGACAGGGAGGCCTCAAAATGGTATGCGTAGGACGTACCTCCGCTGGGCCTCCCAGGAACCCACGAAACTGGCGACAGTTGCGCAGATCGCAGCCCCGCAGGGGACAGGGAGGCTTCAAACTGGTCTGCGTAGGACGCACCTCCGCTGGGCCTCCCAGGAACCCAGGAAAGCGGCGACAGTTGCACAGATCGCAGTCCCGCAGGGGACAGGGAGGCCTCAAAGTGGTCTGCGTCGGACGTATGAGGATCTCACTGTTACAGGGTTTGGTGAAGCCAGCGGGCCTGTGAAGGAAACGCGTTTCTTCCTTCACAGTGTCGTCGGGGAGGCGTCTGTGAAGGAAATGGCCGCGAATTCATTCACATGAGAAGTTCTCAACATAAAAGAAAGCTCGCCAGCGTTGCGAAGCGAAGCGCAGCGAACGACGCAGAAATTAACATAACTGAGATCGCAACCAAAACGCAACTGCCAAAACGATGAACGGCCACAAGTTTCTAACAACAAAAACTGCTCAAACCTTTAAACCTTACACGGGCCAGGGGCTCAATTTCTGTCAAAGGTGAATGTTCGGGGCTGCCCAGAGCATCGCATCCCCCTTCATCCTCTGACTCGGCGGAACGGCGGAAGCCCTGTAAAACATGAGATCATTGCATCCTCGCTCTCTCGAACCTGCCCCCCAGCAAAAGAGAAGACGCGCCGCCCTGTTGCACGCAAGGCCGCCGCGGCGGCAAAATGAATCTCCGCGTTCGTCGCGGCGTGAGCCGCACGAGCCCAACGAGGGCCTCGCAACCGCTACCGAGCTAAGGGCCAGCTCGCTAGCCTCCTGCCTGCATCCCGCTCCTGCCCCTGAACGGGCGGGGCGGCTGGGGCGCAGGAGGCGACGAGGGGGGGGGGGGCGATGCGCAATGAAAGCTATACTACATAGCCTTCTCTCAACATCATCCTCATTAGGGCTGCCCTCCGAAGACCCCAGAGACTCCTCAATCATCATTCTTACTTCCTCCACGTACCTCCTTACTCCTCCCTCTCCGTAGCTCCTTGTCTCCGCCCGCCGCACTATTCCCCCTCCCCTTCGATTCCGAACCTCCTCCTTATCGGCCCCAACCCTCTTCCGCATATCCCCCCGCGTGCGCTCTGATTGCGCACCCCCCTGAATTAAGGCCCAGCTCGCTCGGGCCGCAACTCACCCGAGGATGTGCCCGACGCCCTCGCAGCCGCGTTTGATCGGCCCAAGTCCGCCGCCCTCCCCGCCTCCCCCCCCCTCCCCCCCGCCGCCACCGCAAGCGGTGGCGACGCCGTCGCCGCCGCCGCCGCGCGTTTGCCGACGCCGTCGCCTCACCATTCCCATTCTCCTCCGCCCTTTCGGTCCCCTCCTCCTCCCCTTTCGTCTTCTCGTTCTCATCCGACTCATCCTGCCCTCCTCTCCTCATTGTCGTCGGCCGTCAGCGTCTTTCGGGCGCCGCAGAAAGACGACCTCCTCACTCCCCTCCCCACTTCTCCCTCCCATCTTCATTCGCCCTCATCCTCCTCCTCTACGTACTCCTCCTCCACGCCGTATCCTCCTCCTCGAAGCAAACGGGTTGCCAAAAAGCGCAGGCCTTGGGCTTGTTGGCGCCGCTGCCGCCGCTGCTCTTCGGCTCCTCCCAAGGGAACCTCTTGCGCGACAACGGCATCAGCTTCTCGCCGCCGCCCTCCACGGCGGCCGCAGTGGCGTTGCCGACCTCGAACTCGGAGAGCACGAGCTTGTGCCACGAGATCTTCACTGGCTCCATCTGCACGGCAGGCAACGGATAGAACGCGGCCTCGCGCATGGGGACCTCGATCTCCTCGACAACGATGTCCATCGTCGCGTCGAGGGGGTCAGCCACGGCAGGGATAGACCTGGGCGCCAGCAAAAAAGGGCGGGGCCAGCGGCCTTGCCCCATCCCGTCCCTGGGCATAGCCGAGAACCCTTACCCTCAATCTGAATGGAGGAAGCGGGAGCGGCGGGAGCGGCGATGGAGCGTGAAAGTATTTGCCCCATGGGCGACCACGCTGGGGTGCTCGCAGCCCCCCTGACGTCGCGGAAGTTGTGCCACGGCGACACCAGCAGGTTGAAATCGACATCATCGATCTTCACGCTGCCGATCGCGATGTGCGGCCCGCTCCAGCTCGAACCTCGACAGGCCGCCCATCAAAAATAACTTCACCTCCCTCCTTTCTCCTCATCCATCCCCGTTCAGCCTTCGGTCCGAGCGACCTGGCGCCTGGAAGAGGAGGGGGAGGAGGAGGAGGAAGAAGAGACGCAGGAGGTGGAGAAGGAGGAGGGACGGGGAGCAGCAACAGCAGGAGGAGGAGGGAGATGTGATGAAGAGGAGAAGAAAGAGGATGAAGAGCATGAGGAGCAACAGGATGGGCGAGGAGGAGGAGGACTGAGAGCAGGAGGGGGAGGATATAAGGATGAGGAGGAGAAGGAGGAGAGAGGAGAAGGAGGGCGAGCTGAGCGGCGAGCTGGATGGAGAGGGATCGATGAGGAGGGGGAGGCGACCAAGGATGAGAGGCGGGATCCGCGGTCCGAGGCCGTCCGAGGCCTTCCTTACACAAGACCCCGCATGTCTAAATTCCCTGGCTGGAGGGATGAGGAGAGGGAGGAGGAGGAGGACGAGGAGGAGGAGGGGGAGATGAGGAGGAGGAGGAGGAGGCGGAGGAGGAGGAGGAGAGGAGGAGGCCCCTTCCCGTTTCAAGCGCATCGCACCTGGGGTAAGCACGATGCGCCCAGCGAAGTTCAACTCCATCGACTGAACGGGCGCGGAGTTGCGGCTGAGCAGGTCGAGGAGGAGACGCACGGGGCCCTTCGCCGCAGCGACCTGCGCCTCCGCGCAGACGATCCACTCCAGACCACGATCTGAGACGGTCACCGTGGGCGGCAAAATCTGCGACGGCCGCTCGTCCTCGCTCTTCGGCTGGGACACGTTCACCGTCAGCCAACGCTTCTCGGCCCAAACGTTGAGCTCCGCGGCCACCCTCTCGGCTTTGAACATTGTCATGAGTGCCGCAGAGCCGTCCATCGCCCTGAACAACATGAAGAACCTCTTGTCGTTGATCATCGTCACTCCTGCGGATGCCAGCCCCGCGTCTATGTTGGCGGTCGTGGCATCGGACACAGCCAGTCCCGAAGACGCCGACGATGCCTCGTCGATCTTGATGTGGTTGATGCCCTTGGTTATGGCGAGCTCGACCAATGATTTCCACCGCGCTACCTCGGCAGCGCTCTTCGCCTTCTGGACTGCCAGCCTGTTGCTCACCACGAGGCCCACAAGCACGCCCTTCGCCTGTTGGGCCAGGCCATCGGGCAACTGGTCGGCCTCGATCTCTTTCTTGGCCGCCGCGACAACGTCGGTTTTGTTCATGGCAGTAACCGCCGACCTGATCGCGTTCTCCTTCATCCTCAAGGGAGGTCCGCAGAACTTTGTCGCATCCCTGCTACGGCATTCCACTGCTCCGCCTCCTGATCCTCCTCCTCCTTCTCCTTCCGCTCAGCCCAGACAGGCCTGACCTCGCCTCGAGGCCCGCTGCTCATCCGCATCCTTCTCCTCCCGACCGACTCCCGACCAGCCGCCTTCTCCTCCCCGCCTGTCCGTCATCCCTTCTCCCCCCCCTGTGCCCCAGGGCCCAACCTGGGGGCGTCATGTTGATTTTGGGTGTTGCCCGCCCAAAATCCTCCACGAGGCTTCGGAAGGCTCCACGGCAACGCGATCGTGCAAGCGGTCGCCAATCTTGAAGATCGTCGCCCACGCGTCGCTCAAGCCCGCCGCGTTGTCGAACACGCCCCGCAAGAGGTCGTTCGAAGTGCCGCCCGCCTGCAGCAGCCTCTCTGTGAAAGCAATGCCGCGCGTGCAATGTCCGTGTGCCTCGGCGGAGAGGTTCTTGGATACGTCAGTGACCAGCTTCGCAAGCAAGAGGTTGGTATACACGATCCGCGTGTAGTGAACGCCCGACAAGACCCTCTCATCCTGCCAGATGGCGCGGACGAACGAAGCCACAGCAGGGTCGACCGCCTCGACGTAGAGCACCCACTCAGGCTCCGTGGAACCACGCTTAACCGCCGCCGCCACCGTCTTACGCCTCTCTTCGTCCGCGCTTGCAGCTTCGACCAGCTTCAGCGCGAGGCCCGTCAGCTTGAAGAGGTTCATGGGCACCGCGGAGTCCACAATCCGAAGGACGCTGTCGACGAGGATTGCTGCAGCTTCGGCGCCACTGCCCTTGATGTCCCCCGCGGCCTTCGCTGCCTTCGTAAGTGCAGTGTTCATGCGTGTGAACGCCACGTGCGTCGTCTTCACCTCGTCGGGCGAATCCGTGAACGGGTTGTCGTTCATGTACTCGATGAGCAATGTCTTCGACCTACTCCTCGACTTGGCGTCGATACCGATCGTCGACATGATGTTGGCAGCGGCGACGCTTGCGGCGTCGGCAGCATCGTCCGCCGCGCCGCCTCCGCCAAAGCTAGTCATGTCAGAAGCATCCAGCCCATGCACAGCCCTCAGGTGCGAGTAGATGCGAGGCCGAAGCTGGGACCACTTGGTGAACTTCTCATTGACAGTCTTGTCGCCCACCGTGAACGCGAACTCCAGAGGCCCAGAGTTCTGGTCTTTGAAGCCGAGGCGACAGCCATAGCGCAGCATCTGCCCCATCGCATCTGCCTTCCTGTCCGCGGCGCTCACGTCACGGACCGCGTGGAAGATGATGTTGACGACGTCGTCCAAGTACAATGTCGGGCGGTTGCCCGTCTTCGCCCCCTTCGCGCCACCACGGGCTGCCGCCTGCAGGGCAGAGCCCAGTGACGGCCACGACGCGCGCGCAGGCGCACGCTGCCAAACGGACTGGGCGACGATCGTAGCACCGCGGGCCCAGCCCACAAAGCCGCGACTGTCACTCTGTCCGAGGCAAGCTGCGCACCACGCACGTGCCTGGGCTGCCACTGACCCCGCTCGCCTTAGCCTCCGCGGCGACCTTCTTCTTCGCAGCTGCCTTCTCTGCTGCTCTCCTTTGCTTGAGGGGCAGGTGCGAGAAGTCCTGGTCCTTGCACGGGCTGGTGAGCTTCATCCGAATCAACTTCTTCGACGGGCTCAAGTCAAGGGCCTGCGAGAACACCTTGGACGTGCTCATCGGAGTGAACAACCTCGCAAGCGCAGCGCAATCCTTGTTGACCTTGAACAACCAAGTCACGTCTTGATCAGGGTGAGTCAACATGTCCTCCTCCCAGTTGTCACGATCGTCGGCGTCCCTCTCAAAATTTGTCGGGACAGCGTACTTGAGAACCTCTGCCAACGCATCGTTGAAGGCGCCCTTATACTCGGGTTTCAAGAAATACCCCGAAATCGTGTTGAAGACCCCGAGCACGGTATTCGACCTGGGATGCGCCCAGATCGCCCCAGACCGCCTCGATTGATCAGCTGGTCGGCCCCTCGAGCATTCGAGGCAACCTGAACAGATCAGTCGACTCGATCATGGACGACGGTCGCATCGATGCGACCAGGGCGCGATCGAACCCGATGAAGTTGAGCCGCCAAGGCGGCGACTTCATCGAGGAGTCCTCGAACGCGACGCAGTCGCCCCACCAGTCAGACACCCTCTCCCAGATGCCAGCCTGCTCGATCTTCCCGCGAAAGAGGTTGGCCTTCTTGAACTCCTCCCGCGTCGCGAACACGTCGCCGTAGTTGTCCTGAATGTACTTGGTGCACTCATTGTAGAACCCGCCCTGAGTCCTCGAACCCTTGCTGGCACCGCCTTCTGGCGAAAGGCCAAGGCGAACCGACGGGCCGCGGCCCCCGCCCCTCTCCCCCCTGTCAGGCTGCGGGAAGGCAGGGGGCACGCAGAAGACGGGGAGGGGGGATGGAGGAGGAGGAGAAGAAGGAGGAGGAGGAGGAGGAGGAAGAGAGGAAGAGGAGAAGGAGGAGGAGAGGCCGCGAGGAGGGGCGGAGGAGGAAGAGGAGCGGGAGGGGGAGACGGACAAGGAGGAGGAGGTCAGCAGCAGCAGCAGCAACCCGAGGGGCTGGGGCTGCGTGGCGGGGGGCGTTCTTTCGGACTCCTCCTCCCCGCCCTCCCTCCTCCTCCTCCTCCTCCTCCTCCGACTCCTCCTCCTCCCTCCTCCTCCTCCTCCTCTCCCTCCTCCTTCTCCTCCCCCTCATCCCTCCCTCTCCTCCTCCTCCTCCACCACTCCTTCTCCTCTCCAATTCGCTCCAATCTTCCGCCGCCTCGGCCTTGTCCTCCGTCCCTTCTCCTCCTCCTCCTCCTCCCCCTCCTCCTCCTCCTCCCGCCTCCTCCTCCTCCCCCTCTCCTCCTCCTCACTCCTCCTCCTCCTCCTCGTTCTCTCTCCGCGTTGCGACTCCTGGACCTTCGCCGTCGCCCTCGGCCTCCTCGTCGCCGGCCTCCGGGCCGTCCTCGGCCTCCTCGTCGCCCTCCTCGTCGCCGCCGCCGCCCCTCCTGCGCTTCCGAAGCGATGCGCGGTACTGCTGCCAGTCGCGCACGATGACGGGCGTCAGCTCGAGCTTCTCGAAGAAGCTGGTGGTGCTGCCGATGGAGACCATTTTATTGCATTGCACCCTCACGTAGTACAGAGCATCAGGGGGCGCGGTCGGGTGGACGAGCTGGATGCGGGGCACCCGGGCTTAGCATTGCAGAGCGGGAGGTAGGGCAAGGGGTGGACAACAACGGGGCTTCGCTCGCACAGGTCTTAGCGAATCCTCGGGCGGCCCTCGGGGCATCCAGCTGCACGTGGCATTAGAACTGAGGGGGGGGCAGGGGGATCTGCAGCAGCAGCAGCGGGTTTGCAGCAGCCAGGGCATGAGCAGGAAGAGCAACGGAGCAGGGGGCAGGAGGAAGAGTGGGAGATGGGAGAGGACAGCATGGCTGACGACGGCGATGATGTTACTCCTCTGGCACCTGCCCCTCAAGCAGCTGCAAGACCTGCTCGTTCTTCGGCGCGTCCCTGATGGCCTCGTAGCAGGCGTCCAGCAGGGTAGCCCCGCCGAGAACCTTGAGGGTCCACTTCGTCGGCTCCAAGCAGGTCGGCTGGACTACGATGTCGCCAGCCCTGTCCGACCAGGTGACGCCGACCTTCAGAATCAACTTCTTGTAATACCGCATGGTGGCCTTCTGGCGGCGCTGGTTGAGCTCGTGCCTGACAAACACGCGCTCTCCACCGCGAAAGAACGGCTGAGCAGAGTTCCACGGCAGCACGTAATCTTTGGTGAACTGGGGGGGAGCGGCTTCGAACGCACAAAAGCCCCGTGACGACGCGGCCCAACCAGGTGGGGAAGGGGAGACATCCGTGGATGCCCCAGCCCATGCCCCTGCCTAGGAGGGTCGTGGCTTCGTGGGACCATGGGTGAATACTTAGTTTCTGCCAGTTGCCCTGGCGACCTGGGCCCGAAGAATAGAGCCAGACTTCGAGGGGTGGCGCGCCTCGTAGCTGCTGTAGCCCTGGTCGAAAGCGGTGGACGACCCGCGCGGTACATAAGGGTGATGGAGTTCACATAACAGCGGCCCGCACAAGGTCCGTGCGAACAGGGAAAGAGGGCGAAGACGAAAGGGCTGGCATCCAGCGTGATATACATGTGGAAAGGAGTGGCGTTTAGAAAGGGGCAGACGCGGGAGGCGGCCCCACCCACCCACCCCGTCCCAACTCAGCCTCAGAGCCCCCAGCTGCTCCTGCTGCTGCTGCTGCTGCTCCTCCTCCTCCTCATTCTCATTATCATTCTCCTCCTCTCCTCCTCGACTCCTCCTCCTCCTATCCTCCTCTCCCTCCTCCTCCTCCTCCTCCTCCTCATCCTCCTCCCTCCTCCTCCCCATCCTCCTCTCCTCCCTCCTCCTCATCCTCCTTCACCTGCTCCCCATCCTCCTCCTCCTCGGCGTCGTCCTCCTCCATGTGATCCGAGGAGAGGCAGGGGCAGGGGCGGGAGCGGGAACAGGAGGGGGAAGAAAAGGAGGAGACGGAGGATGAGAGGGAGGAGGCGGAGGAGGAGCAGAAGGAGGAGGAGGAGGAGGGGCAGGAGGAGAAGGAGGAGGAGGAGCAGGACGGGGGAGGAGGAGGAGGAGGAGGAGGAGGAGTCCAGGAGGAGGAGGGGGAGGGGGAGAGGGGGGAGGGAGAGGCTGCTGGAGGGAGGAGGAGGAGACAGGGAAGACGGAGGATGAGGAGGAGGAGGAGGAGAAGGAGGAGGAGGAGGAGGAGGACGAGGGGGAGCAGGAGGAGGAGGAGGAAGAAGAGGAGGAGGGACGAAAAGATACGCTACCCCCGATTGCCTGCAGGGCGTCGGACAACGCCTTCATCTCCGACGAGAGCGAGACGATGCTGCCGCCGTCGCCGCCTGGCGGTGCAAGGCGCGGGATGGGGCGGGGGTGGAGGGGGGCGCGAGGCAAAAGGCGCGTTGCGGAGCAATGGGCGACGCGACGCGACGACGACGACGACGACGACGACGACGACGACGAGACGACGACGACGACGACGACGACGACGACGACGACGACGTCGACGGCGACGTCGGCGACGACGACGACGACGACGACGACGACGACGACACGACGACGACGACTGACTGCAAGACCAGCACGCTGAAGGAGGTAGGACGGGACGTAGGATACGATCGTCTGCGCTGCGACGCTGCGAGGGGTCTCACGGGCTCCACGCACGCTGGCTCGTCTACGCGCCTGCGCGCACGCTGCGGGCCCCGCGTTGTCGCGGGGCGGCGGCGGCATGCTCAATTATGCTCAATGCTCTACTCATTGTTATCGTGCGACGTCCACGGTCGATATACACACGAGCGCGGGCTCCCTGCCTAGTGCTAAACCTCATGCGACTAGGTTGGCGGCGCCGCGCAGACCGCGAGCACGTGCTCGGAAAGAGGAGCGTTCAAAATCTAGGCCGTGACTGCAAGGACTTCCCCACCCCGAGCATTATCCATATCCTAGCCCTCGTCCAGTCCTCTCTAAATCCTCCACTCAGCCCATCCCTCCTCCTCCACCTCCTGAGGAGGTGGAGGAGGTGACCTCCTCCTTCTCCCCCTCCTCCTCCTCCTCCTCCTCCCTCCTCCTCCTCCTCCTCCTCCTCATCATCATCGCAGCGCTGGCAATTCCCTCCTCGTTCCCTCTCTCCCCCCCCCCCCCCCCCCCCGCCTCCCCCACCCCTGCCCCCATCCTGCCTTCTGAGAATCCTCATGCCCCTCGATCTCCCTTACGAACGTGGCGCGCCAGCCCCCCGCTCAGGCATCAGTCGGAGTCTGAGATCGGCGTCTTCTGCTCGGCGGCGTCGGCAGCGCCCTCGGCCGCCTCCCCCTCCGACTCCTCGGTCGCACGGGCCGCCTCCTCCTCCTCGCCGCCCTCTTCCTGCACGAACGAATCGGGGGAGCGCTGCGATCGCTGGTAATCGTCCGACTCGTCAGGGGTCTGCGGCACCATCTTGCCAATCCTGGGGTCGAGTGGCGGGCTGGGCGCCGCAGGCCCCGTCGACGGCGCGGCTTCTGGGTGCGGCTTGTCCGACTCGCCAGAGTCGTCGTCGCGGTCCGCGCGCTCCGCCAGGAGACGCGCTGGAGCTGGCAGCGGCGGCGGCCCCGCCGACGGCGCGGCGTCTGGGTGCGGCAAGACCTCGTCCGACGCCGCGTCCGAGATCGGTTGACCCTCCTGGCCGTCCATGCCGTCCATGCGGTTGATGACGTAATCCTCGGGGGGGCGCATGCTACTGCTACACTACCCTTCCTTGTGCAATCACTTCCAAGAGCCGCCGTCACGCTCCCCCCTCCCCCATCTCCATTACACTCGTAGCCCGAGGCCCCTGGTCACAAGGAGGGCGAGGCGGTCGGCGACAAAGCTGATGGGGTGGTCATGTAAAACGGTGGGCCGTTGTCGTTAACCGTCGCCCCCGAGGGTCCGAATACTTCTTGGAGGACAGGCTGCTGCGGCGGCGGTGCATGACGGCCTTCTTGTAGGGCAGCACCCCCCTCGCAACCTCGGCTGTGCAAAGGGGTGAAGGAGGGGCGGTGGTGGGTCGAAAGGGAGACATTGGCAATCGGACCATGACCCGAACTGGACCAGCGACGACACGACGGCACCACGGGGGCAAGCAAAGGCACCGCGAGGATCCAGGATCGGTTGCGCGGCGGGGTGGCGAGGCGAACAGCAAAGCGACCACCAGACAGCAATAGTCTGACCGTTCGGCCACTGCGGGCCTCCGACAAGGCGACAAGGTCCGACCAAGGCTGCTAAGGCGGCAGCCCGTCTGATGCAATTGGTGTGGTGGCTGCTGCGCCCGAGGCCGATGCATTCGTTCCTCCAGCGCCCCTGGCCACACCAATTCTCGTCCACCGACCACGCGCCGCATTTCACGCAGAACAGGCAATCGAAAACCTCGTCTTCCTCTCTGTTATCTGGATCGTGCTGGACCTCGCATGGAGGAGGAGGGATGGGCGAGTGCTGAAGTTGGTGGAGGAGAGGAGAGTGCTAATTTCTGCAGGGTTGACATTGAAGCTTCCTGGTGCCGCTTGGGGTCTTTGGGCTCTGGACCCCTTGGGGACCGTCTCCCGACGGAGAGGAGCAGGCGCTAAGTTTTGCGCGGGCCGCGCTGGGGCCGCGCTGGAGCCTTGGAGCCCGATGTAGCAATGTTGAGGTTTTCTCGGTTCCGTCGTCAGGCCATGTCCTGGCACGATGACGCCATGACATCTCTTGGGTTACGTCCAGGGCCCCCTAGCCACGCAGGAGGGGCGTGAGACGAATG